TGGGTTGAAATAACCCAGCATTTTTTAAAGTGTATTATTGACAATTAGCAGCGCCTCTTCTCCCTCCCTCTCAGAACAGCCCTGTGACCCATTTTCATAACACAATAGTTTCACAAGAGTAGAACCACTGCTTTAAGGTAAATCACATTTGACCCTGATTACTTAATTAATGTTCCTGGTTATTTTGTGAATAATTAGTGCACATTATAAAAAAAAAATAAAAAGAAAAGGCAAGCCCCACAATTTTCCTCATGGAGTGTGCTGCTTCACTTGGAAATACGTGAATAAGATTATGGAAGTAAATGTATTTTTAATTCGATTTTTAATTTGTTTATTTATTTTTGCAAATGCAACACAGTTGTATCCAAATGTGTCTCTGACGGCACAGTCTCTGAAGATCAAATTAGGTCACAAAAGTACTCCGTGAACCTGCAAACATTATATGACAAAGCAAATAAAAATTACAGTGAAAAGGCAATTTCATTATATGTCAATAGTTAACATTTGTGGGATTAGAAATAAGATTTTAAAACAAATGAAGGATTAAGATTTTATTTACTCTTGCTTTTTTGCATCCTTCAAAAGCTCTTAACAAATCAACCTTCTGGTAATGGATTGAAGTGTTTGTGCGTGCTAATGCTCCCCAGAAGAACAACTACATGGACTTTAATGTGTTCACTCACTGTAACACCTTTCATACAGGTGTGTGTGTGTGTGACGTGTGTGTCATTCAGCCTGAAAGTACCTCTATTCTGTGTCACATTTTCAGGTTTTCTACCTAACATGTCTTGATACATTTTTCTTTTGTAAATCCCTAGGGCAAATTGGATTGAAACAGCTCGACAGAGTGGATAGACCATCAACAGGCTCTTAGAGCACAAGCGTACTGTTGCCTGGCAACCGTTACTGATGATTTTATGTTATGCAAATTTGCCGGAATTTACATAAGATTTCATGTTGCTGCACGTTGAGACTAATAGGTTTTATTATTTTTTTGGTGTGATCAAAAAGATTGCACTCCAAAAACTAAAACTCTAATTTTAGAGTTGGGAATCGTGCTTTCTAATGCAAATGTTTTATGTTTGCGTTTGCCAAGTTCAAAACTTCAACCGCTGTTATGTTAATATATTACGTGCTATTAAGATAATCAAATTGAAATAGAGACTCTCATTTAATGCAGCCACTCGTTTACTGAAAACAAAACCAGCATTCAGAAGGGCTTCTTTAATGTTAATTTAAGCTATCAGCAATAATATTTGTAGATTCAGCAAATCTAAGTATATTAAGCATCTAGTAAAGGAAATAAATGCTAGCTGCTCTCGTTCCTGACCCATATACAGACAGACGGCTCCTCCGGGGAGGGCTCGTTCCCTTAAGACTTTCCTTCACACCACATAGATCATTTAACCGACAGCGCAAACTCACTGCAAATTTGTTCCAAACTGTAGTTTTCCCCTGAACGCAATTGTTAATAGTTCAGCAGCAGCTGCTGCTGTGTAAAGACATTGGTTTTGATGCTTAGCTGTTATTTACTTTTCTCGTAACAAGATCACGGTAGCGTGTTTCGTGCTGCCTGTCTCCATTCTCTGATTTCCAGGGAACACAATGCCATTATTTTCCAGACACCCCTTCTACAAATGTGACAGATATTGCATGTTATTTTGCTACTTTTGTAAGCTTTCGCACCTACGGATAAAACATTTTGTTTAAAATGAAGATGAACACTCCAGTGCATCTCATGAGAGCAGCCATGTTGAGATCACATGACCAGCTGAAACCTTAAGCAAATATATTATATTTCCTTATATAAATGTAGTGCAGTTTTGCATTCATTGCTATATATTTTTTATATGTATCAAATACACGATCAATGCATACAGTATGTTGTAGTACATTGACAATATAAGCACTAGTTTCCCATATATGGAAATTATTGCATTCTATTTTCTAGTATATTCCCATATATTTTTGTTTTATAAGTGAATACGACTTTCTTTCTCTTTGTAACTGTCCAAAGATGTTCTGGGGAAAATTGGATTGTGGAATAAATATACTATAATACTAATACTATATATAGTATATAATACTATAATAGCTTAATGTATATTTCTAGTGCATTTCTATATCAGTTGAATTTGCAAAACGCTCATCGAGCAGTGCAACACAAACAAAACATTGTGAGTGGACCTTGAACATGTTTTGAACATGTTTTTAATTTCAGAGTAGCATTATTTCATTATAATAATAATGTCGCTATCCAAAAGTATCTCAGTTTAAGTGTACTAAATGCAAGTACTAATGCACAAATTACTGCCAGATAACATTAGTATACTGTCATAATAACACACTTTTGTGTGTGTGTGTGTGTGTTTCTTCAGCTGCTTGTTATTCACTAGTTTTGGGTCCCTGTAAGCAAACATTTTGTGGGAAACATCTCAGTTCCATTATTAAAGATAAAAAAAAAAAACATGCATAGACAATATAAACTGAGATAAAATACAAATTGAGTAGTTAGAGAAGGTTGCTCTTAAGGTTGTTCCTCTTAGAGCGTGCTTTAAAGGGGTGTGGCAAATCCTTTAAATATGAAAACGTACTTACAGGCTGTGAGTCAGCATTATTTGTCGGCATCATAGACTATGGTCAGCATGCGCACCGAAGGGGAAACGGGAACTGAATTCACCCGAACACCGGCATTGTAGGCTACTCTAAACAGTCCTCGTCCTCCGTAAAATGCGTTGCACACATCTGAATATTTGGTTTGAACTGTTCTGGAACAGTGTTGTAAATACAACGTCTTTGCAACTTTAGGGATCTTATCTATTCACGAACAGCTTGTAACACTCCAAAGAGAAAGGAGAACTTGAAATCGCATCATATGACCCCTTTAATAAACATCACCGTAATGGGAATGAATCTCCCAAAAATGCTATCATTAAGGAATGTAATAAAAGCACCAGTGCCAGGCAAGACAGCATCTGTGACATGAAAATCATTTAGACTCATCTTTCAGTTCATAAAAGCAGATACATATCTTATGATTGAGGTCTCTATGGGAAAGTGACTGCGCTGATGATGTTACACAGACACACTGTTTCAAAGGTGCAGCCACAAAACCCAAACATGATACAGCACGTTAACATGAGACTAATTTGTCTAAAAATCACTTACAAAGCCTGTCTGTGCAAACCTATCCAACTTTCACACAACACACACAATCTGTAAAGTGCTTGTTTACAGAAATAACATCAGAAGTTCATCCATCTAGAGGTAGCAGGTCCCACCACTAAAACAACATCTCCACATTATAGAAGAATGAAGGGTTTTGACAAAAATACAGGCTTTTAAAATGTTTGTGTACACTTCCACCATGACTTCTAATGTTAATTCATTTCTGTATAAGCTATCATGCTATTTCTTATAAAAATAATAATAAAAAAGTTTTTTAAGCAGAGGGGTGAGTCTAAATTATTTTGCTGTTATTGACAGAAAGTCACAGATGCTGCCTTTACAGCTTAAGCTGTTTTAAACTCTTTAATGAAATTCAATGCAATTCAATAAATTCCAATGAGAATGGATCACCAAATTCAGCTGATGTCATTATTAATACCATTCACTGCGTTAAAGTGTTTACTCAGCCACTGAATAGTATGTTTGATGGTGGTATTTTTAAGGTTATAATTATTATTGCATAATTATAGCTGATGTGTTGACAAAGAAGCTTTCTGAGTCCCATAATCAATTAACCTTTTGCTGTCACAGAAGCATTGTTTTTATCACTATAAAAACTTCCACCTTAAATAGATAAATAATGAAGCAAAAACCTATTTCAGTGTAGCATCCAAAGTCTTAATGGAATACTAATTGGAATTTTCTTACTTTTAGTCTGTATCTTCTTCTTCTATGTTCGTTACTAGTCTAAACACATTACACTTGTTGTAACTATCATTGTGGCTGTTGCTTTTTAAAACAATACACTGATTTTGACATTGGTGCTGAGGTTTCTGTAATGACAGACTCCATATTGTAACTGCAGGAGCACTCACGGTCACTTGTGTCATAAGATATTACATGTTCTTCTGACACATATCAAGCTGTATGACATCAGTGACTCATATCTTATGTATGATGCTTTGCGTTATGACATCAGTGACACAACGCTCAATAAATTGGATGAGCTGTCAATTAAAACAGGAGTTCAGCATTGTTTATATAATGTATATATAGGTCATTGTCAGGAAACTGTATCATTGTGTGCTGTGTGTGTCCCAATGACTTACTACAGATATATTTAACAGTAATAAGCCATAGTAATTGATTATTTTGGAGACTTAACTCTGTAACTCTTAACTCTGTGTGTAATGCCAAAATAAATAATAATAAAAAAACACACTAAATATGAGCCAAATTGCTTGTCCATTCATCAACACTGCATATACATTTTGTGTTGTACTTAATAATAATAATAATAATAATAATAAATTGTGTTTTCATTATCTATGAATCATTTACTATCATATCATATCTAGAAACTTTTTTTGTTGTTGTAATTTTCTGTTTAAATGCTGAATTATCCCACCCCCCCTGAACTTTCCATTCAACCCTGTTCTGCTATGATACTTGTCCATTTAAATATAATAGTATAAACTCTCCATGGTCAAAAAAAGTCATATTGTTCAATGGTTTGACATGGTGCAAGCATATTTGTTAGTGATCAAAATTTTTTTTTTTTTTAGCCTGTGTAATTTTTTAAGTTGTTGAACATAACAGGGTTGAACATGTGAAAACAGGAGGTTGTGTACATACACACTGTATAGCAATTTGAAATAGCACATATTCACAAAAAAAAAAAAAACCCTATGTTGAAAAAAATATACAGCCATTTTTAACATTGCTCTGCACACAAGATTCTGTAGTTGTCGGTGATATCCCGTGGGTACGAGAGAGGACGTACCAGTCGCTCTCTTCTCTGTATATCGCTCCAATGTTGGCTTGTTACATACCTCCTTTTCTACATATTTTCTTGTTGGGTTTTCTGGCACATTCCTTGGATATTCTTTTGACTGTAAAATGAATAGAAGACTACAAAATAACAGAAGGCTCTGGAAGAAACGTTTGAGGAGAACATGCAACATCGTCACTCCCCCTCCCCACAAGAACAACAAAGAGAACCTGTCCAGAGCGTTAGCTGGGGTGCTTTGTCTTTTAGGCAGAAAATATTCCAAAACAGGTGGAATTGATTTGCTGCACCCTGGAACACAGGAAGCCTAGTTTCACATGCACTGCTATATAAAACCCTTTACAAGCACAAAATAAACTCTTCCTCCTCACATCTTCTGCACCGTTGCATCACTCCAGGTTTTGCGTGAGAAATGCATGGCTCTGTTGCACGACGCACCAAAACGTGCCTTGACAACAGATGCATAGAAGTGTGCTCTACAACCTTGGAAGTTTTTTTGCCTTCAGATTAATTTTAGCAACAAAAAGCTTATGCAGCTTTCGATGACACAATTGGATCTGTTCCAAAACATAGCGCACTACCCGGACAGCATTTTACCGCATGCATCAGAGGTCTGTTGGTTCCAAAAGGTAGGCAGTAACATTATGCTGGCTTTTTGGATATCTCAAATCTCTAAAATGCAGCAATGCATTTATCCTACAAAGTGAAGGCAATCCCAGAATGCACTGCACTGAGCTCACTGAAAAATGGTGGACTCCAATATTTGTGTCTACTATGCCTTATTCTGCTTATTAGAGTACTACCGTGTCATTAGTTTAGCAACTTGCTAATGTTAAACTCAATTGAAATCAATTGTCAAGTCTCCCATGAGCTTAATGTGAGGAGTGTTGTTTGTGTGCTTACGTTGTGTGCTGTATTTCAGTAAGGATAGGGGGTTTAGCAACCATTTTTATGTCATCCTTTTTAATCCACCCCACTTTTTGGGAGATGCTGTAATCATTGTCTTTTAAGAGTTTTGTTTAGCTTGGCTACAAAACTATAATAAAAATGTAGCTAACCAAGCCTCAGGCAACTGGCAGCGATGGATACATAAACAGCACTTGGTAATCCTGCTACAGCTAGCACCAATTGAAAACATCTTTTTTGAGAGTTTTATCTTTGAGCTGGGATGGAATCTGCAAATGCAAATTTTAAGCAATGACAAACAGCATCTTTGCTGCTACATAATGTGACCCAGGCATCGATTTCAGGTACAGTAGTATTTTTCTGTGCATGCGCACACAAACTGATACGGCTCTTTGCATGCCCTCATAATGAACTTTACGCATTCGTAGCGTCAAAGTCTCCGCTTTCCTTCAAAGCCTTCTAGCCTTCTCAAGCGTGTACGCGTCCTTAGATGGCAGCTCACTGGGTTTTGGAACAGAGCTTGCGCTTTTGCTTTCAAATCTGTAAGAGTTTGTAAGAAATGCTCTTTGTGCTGGGGAGATATTTGCGAATGCAAACGTTCAACTTGATCACCAAATTCGTTTAAAGATCTTAAGTTCCTGGAGACAGGCTTTGAATGTTAACAGAAGAAAGTGGGACAGTAAAGGGTCTTACATGGTTAGGACTGATGCCACAGGCCTCTTGTGTTCCAGAACATTTTTGCAACTCTACAAAAGGCTCATTCTGGCATCAAGCAAGCAAATCTCGGCTCGCTAATCCCCCAGAACAGTCAAGACAGTGAGGAGAGGGAGGTGCACCAAGATCATTACATCAAAACTTCATGTCAGATTAGAATCTGAGCTCTTACATTAAAAAGATTATTTTCTCCTTGATTGCTTTCTTCTAGCTTTCTTTCTTTCTTTCTTTCTTTCTTTCTTTTTGGTTTGCCTTCTTGAACAACACAAAAGAGGAACCCATAACAGTGGCATGGAAGGGAAGAGTTGATGGAAAGACTTCATGGCAGATCAAGTCAAGATGAGGAACGGAAATGGTGTACACAGACACGGCATGCTGCCGCAGAAGTCTGTCTGAAATCAGTTTTGTGAGGTACCTTCTTCGTGCACAAACGCTGCCTCTAAAGTCATTGCCTGATAAGGCAGCGAGGCAACAAGTCAGCTGCCTAAGCTTTCGGACGCAGCCAGACTGTGACATTCTCTCATCTTCAAGTTCCACAAACAAATCTGTGCAAGGTATAGAAAAATAAAACCCAGACTACATTTGTACCAACCAAATATTTAAAAAACAAAGAAAATCTTGAACTAATTACTAGGCAATGGACTTGTTACTGTTAAGCTGATAGTGTTCTTAGTAATATTTATGCATTTAAACGTTTGATTTTTAAGGTCATTTTATTTCTTTTGTACAATAAACTATTTTGGTACCATGTTTATGGCCTAAAGCAAATCCAGTTGAGAGCTACTCAATCAGTAAATAAAACATACTGTTTCCCATCAAGACAAAATAACAACATCTCTGTCCAAATTTGACAGAAATGTGTTAAATAAAAGATTTTTCAGGCACAGGTCCCCTGTCCCCATCTCTAGAAAGCTGGTATTTGTAAGTGGCTCGCGGGTGCCTGTGCTAACACTGTAAATGCTAATGATGAGGAGGGTCGTCCCCAGCGGAGAGAAACTCTTCCCTGCTCAACTACTGATCAATTTTCAATTTTTAAAGCTTAAGACCCTCAGACCTCCATCCCTCGGAGGGTTTGGAATAATAACAAGGAGAAAAGCCGGAGTTTAGTAGCGGATATTGCATTCCAAAATGACTCTGTAAATGATTTATAATGTATCTAGTGGAGCAGTATCCACCAGACGAGAGGCAATATGAATCTTCCTGGAGGTGCACTTATCACTTCACAACTCCTATCCAAACTTGGGCTGATTTGCACAAAGCCTTGCAGGAAGTTCTTCATCCTCCACCTCATCATCCACACACACTTACTGCTGCCTGTAATCGACTGGTGCCTGTGGACGGTACAGCTGATCTCCAGAGAGAAGAGACGCCCACTGAAGCGGAGGAATTGTCCGGCCCAATCTTGGCAGACTTTAAACATACTGTTTTCTCAAACTCATGACTTGTCCTGTTCAGTTACTAGTCGACTGAGAAGTGATTTTAACAATTGATTTGGGAACTAAACAGAATTGATATTTTTCCCTCCAGCAGGCGTATTTAAAGAAATGAATTCTTGTACACTTAATGTAGATACACTTGGTCAAGATGCACCATGCAATGTTCATCCATGATGATTGGCTATGATAGCAACATTTGATGTCACGGATGTTAAACCTGTTACAATGCATCTTTAAACAATGCATTTGAATATACAGTAGGCATGTTGGAAGTATAAAATCATTATTTTGAGCAAATAAGAGTTTACATTTCATTTAGTTTCTCACACAAAACTATTGTATTGTATTGTACTGTCTTGCACTTTTATGATACGTTTAAATTGTTGGAGCCCCCACCCTACCCCACCAAACATTATAGAACATTATAGAAACTCCTCAAATCACTTTTGAATAGGCAAGCACCATTCAGCTTTTTATGAAAATGTAAAAGCCTAGTTCATGAATAATTCAGCCAAGCTCCTGCTTACGATCAGCCAGGTCAATCCCGGCCAACTACCAACCCCTTCTCTCCACATTAAAGTTCCCACTTGTCTAAAACATACAAGTTCATTGTCCCTGATGTGGTGAAACCAGGCAGCGTCCAACACCTGAGACCCTGTTTCCAGTTGATATTAAAATGCGATTTTGTTGACCTAATCACAAGTGTTCCGCCAAGACGCATTACTGTTTCCACCCGATATGAACATGCGTTTCAAATGCGTCTCCTGTGAACACTTGTGGCTGGATTTCAATGAGACCCTCCCCTCTTATTTTGTCACACTCCACATCACTTTCATGGGAGTGCAGAGGGCTCACATTCAGGGACTCACATACTCACATATTAGTGTCTATACTGTACACAGCAGCATGGTTATGGTTATGTATTTTGTATGTGTAGCTACAAAATAGCTAACACTTAACAGCCTTGCAAACATTGTGCATTCTCAGCTGCCTGTCCTTTTATTTGCCAGTTGCTTTTCCACTTTGTAATGACAACACACCTTAAAGTCTCATTCCTTCATGCCCTTAGTCACATGGTACCTGAGCCACTGAGATCAATGACAGATAGCATTCTCCAGGCCGTATTCCAGAAAGTAGAGTTAACTTATCAATATAACTTATATAATATAAGTTATATAAATATAACTTGTGCGATCATTTTTTTTTAACTTGCAATTTATAACTTTAAACAAATTTGTTATCACTGTGAACGAGAGATATATTGTTTGGATAACACATTAGTATAGGGACCAATTCTCACTATTAACTACTTGTTTATTAGCATTATTAGCATTAGCATATTGGCTTTTTATTAGTACTTATAAAGCACATATTCTGCATGACCATATTCTACATCCCTAATCCTACCCAATACCTAAACATAACAACTACCTTACTAACTATTAATAATCAGCAACTTAAGTTGATTTTGTTGATTTTGATTGTTTCCATTGTCCTCGTTTGTAAATCGCTGTGGATAAAAGCATCTGCTAAATGACTAAATGTAAATGTAAAAGTCTTAATTAATGGTTTGTTAATAGTGAAAATTGGACCTTAAAATACATTTTTACCATTGTTTGTTTGATGTTAAAACCATAAGATGGTTGTGCAATATATATACAGGCAGAGGCTATATGCACTAAGTGTAAATAGCTATAGATTCTATTTACGCTATGTTATAATAGCAAGATTTTCTGCTATTTATACTACTTACTGCAAATAGTGGCAATTATCTGCACCTCAGTATTGTAGTACATTTTAAAACAGTATGTAATAATAACGTATTGAGTTTAAATTATAATTTTCATTCAGATTATTAAATGGATGCATTGGGACAATAAAGTCCTCCCTACACCCCCTTAACCCGATACTTCATTTTCAACTTTTTGATTATTTCCTTCATTTTTATTGAAAATAAATGCCTTTCCGATGTGAGATGAGATCTGAAAAGGAAGAAAAACATTTCGGCAAAAGGCGGGTTCGATCTCGGGTCGATCACGTCAAAAGGAACACACCTCACTAGAGACACCACTGGAACTGATGTCTTGTGGGCGTCTTTTGTAATGTTGTCTAGCCCAATCACACATTGATGGGCGGAGTTAGTGTAAATAGCCTCTGCCAACAAGGTGGGCAATTTGCACATAGTGTAAATAGACACTCCGATAACTGGCCATACGCTGTTTTGCTAAATTCCTATAAAAATGCAGGATAACATGATTTGTATTGTACGGTTCTTCAATAAGAATACATCTTGTAGTAGGTAATGTAATACTGGCTATTGAAGAATGACTAATAATCGGCAGCCAGATGTTTCTGTTGTAGATTTGATTAGTATTCTTCTACATTAAACTTTATTGCACACCTCACTGTCGAGACTTGTGAATCTCCGTCCCTGATAGTGTGAATTATGACCATTATGGGAGTGTGCATTGGGACTCATTGTCAGCAGCCAGCACATATTACACTGCATAATACATGGTCACCATCTTAACACCCTCTGTGGGAAACACAGCACAGAATATGCAGAGCTGTCGTCAACATTATCCTGAAACTAAAACTATAGATAAATATATCATATTAAGTCACATTCTAACATGGAAGTAGGTAAAAAACTCACAACAAGACAGGATTTGCAGCACATCAGACCTACACCCATGCTAAATCAGCTCTGTAATAGATTTGTGCCTAAACATGATGTATTTCAAGTAAAAGAGTAATTACTAAAGACTGAAACATGATGGCACAACCTGTATCTCCACCTGAAAATAAAATGGAAAGGGCTGCAGAAGACAACGCCTAAGGGGGAAAAAAACCTTGGTTTCCTGGTTCAAATGGGCATGACCTGAGGCTCCAAAACTATCAACTCAACATAAAATCACACATGAAGGTGCACAAGATAACAGATGAGACCCTGACTGTGTGTTGTGTGATAACACCACAGGACAATGAGGACTGTATAATAGAACGCCTGAATATGTGATATGAAATGTGCAGAGAATAACAAAAAGAATAACATCAACAGAAACAACTTCCCAGTACGTTTTAAATTCAGTAAGTCTAATGGTGCGTTTGCACCGACAGCGCTTTGCAGAGGCAAAGCGATCAGAAGTCATTCATTTCCAGCGAGAGCTGGTGATTTGAGCAGACGTGAGTGACAGCTACACTCTAAAAAATGCTGGGTTGTTTCAACCTAACTTTGGGTCAAATATGGACTAACCCAACCGTTGGGTTAAATTTTTACATTAAATTTTTAACCCAAAAGTTGGGTTAGTCCATATTTGACCCAAAGTTGGGTTGAAACAACCCAGCATTTTTTAGAGTGTACCGTGAGCAATGCAACACATCTCGCGTCGAGCTGAGCAGTGTCACTCGCACAAGAGCAGTGATGTGATGCGGTGACTTTGAACGTCTTCATCCTGGCAACCTTGCCCTGATTCACACTTCCACAACGACCGTCATTCACACCACAGGGAGGTTTACTGTTATAGTCTTGTTTCGTCACACACTGTGCATGATGAGGTTAACTGTCGGGAATCCCTGTCATCCTACAACTAATGAAACACTCGCACGGGAAGCAAAATGTTCATTCAATGGAAATCAAAGCTATTAGGCATCAAATATAATGTAAATACATTAATTTCACTGACTCTTAACTGAACATACTGCTAATGCTAACAGCTACGCATATGTGCTACATTTACGGAATTATGAGAATGTGATTCAGAGCTGTAATTCTAATAAATGTTCTTCTTCAAAGTTGAGTTTTTCAAAAAAAAGAGAACAATTGTATGTGTAGTCACATAAACCTGAATAAAAAAGATGAAAAGCTTAAAGGGGTCATTAACTGAGAAATCAAAATTCCTTTGATCTTTTGACATATAAGAGGTAATTGTACTATAAAAAAGTAAGTCTGTAAGTTTCAGAACTCAAAACGTTCTCGTTATTTCGATGCGGGATTGTCAGAAAGATTGAAA